AGGTTGGACAATTAATAAGACCTTGTAAATATTGGTCCAGAAACAGATTGTGAAATTTCACCACTCTGCTCTGCTACATCGGGCCTGGTAAAAATAAAGAATAGAGCTTAAACATAAACAATGTAATGAAAAACTACTGAAGTACTGAAACTATATTTTAAATTGGTAGTATCAGCAGACAAGCTAGGATTATGGTAAAAATTTAAAGTCTAGAAGAAAGGAGTTTATAATATAATGTTTGATGTATCAGTACATTATTTAGAAGAAATACTGCAATAACTCATATCCATAGTTCCCCCTTATTCCTCTGAGAACGCACTAGTGTTATCTGTTATGAAACCAAAACCATAGTAGCAAGATGTACAACTACAGCACCTAAGTAAAAGCTAAAAATTCAAATTTAAAGTTATGGATAAGCCATCTGTTCTTATAGAAACAATTTGATAGTTTCAACATCCTAAGCCACAAAATAAATCTAGACCACTAGGGAACACAGACACATTTAAAGTATCAGAAAAAGTACAGACCCATTTTCTCTAACGGATCGCCTTAATGCAGCTCGTGCTTCACCAGGCCTTCCTTCCTTCCTTTTCTCCATCTCCCGGACCTGCAAAATACTTTATAATGAATTGAAAGAACTAGAAATTGATAACAATGACAACAAATACTGACCTTCCACTTAAATCTATCATCTAACATGCTTTTTTGAGCATCCGTTAGCTTCCCTACATATCTCCATATCTCCTCACCTAATAAAAATGGGGGAAAAAGAAAGTTTCAGCAACCACAAAGAAATAATAACAATAATATAACAATCAGTTAGAGAAGTAAAAATATTTACACCTACAAGAAGAGGACAAAACTCTTTTACAATATTATTCAACATGAAAGAAGCATAACAAAGCAGTTTTATAAATCATGTAATACCAAGAATCTTATAGCCAGTGGCCAATGTATTCAGAGCAGCTTTCCTAATTTCACCATCTCGTTCTGCTGTCAAGCTTGCAACAATTTGCAATGATTTCAATTGACTGCTGATCTGTCATTCAAGGAGCAATTTTGTAAGAACTCCAGGACAATTAACATGCACAGGGAGAGGGAGTATAGTTGCTACCTCAGCTCCATGATGATCGATCAGAAATCCAACAAGATCAACACACTCTATCCGTGTACGGTTGTTTTTTGAACGCAAGCCTTCCAAAAGATAAGGATAAGTTTTTGTGGCAGAATACATATGAACTATTTGTTTCATCAATTCCCGCATTTTTTCCCGCACTTTCTCAATGTTATGTCCCAACTGTGATGCAATCCAATAAGAGGTTTGTCATATTTATCCAACAAGCAAAAGAATTAGTCATATGCTGTAAAACCATGGCAGCAAGTAGCCTACAGCATGGTACATGAGAAACTCTAAAAACACAACATAGGAAAACAATTAAATTATACAAGCATCTAAAAATTAATATCACCAAAGACCATGAACAACCTTCTCCACCAAGCAAGGAAGAAAAATTGCTGCTTCTGACTCGGTTAACCCATATGTCTCACTCTTCAATGTGTCAAAAAGCTCTGGAAGAAACTCCAGTACCTGCTATCACAGACCAAGAGGTCATTATATCAAAAAACCGCAGAAAGTAAGCTTCCAAGGAAGAAGTTACAAAATGATTTATTAGAAAAAATTGCACCTTCAACAAGCATGTCGTGTTAGATTTACAGAACTGCAAAACGAACCACCTTAAAAGTATATCTAAAACCTCAATTAATTCTTTCCCTAAGGAAGGAAGTGCCTGCAATTAAGAACAAGATATAAATTAGACATAGGTTGAAGATTTCAAGGAAAATAATTAAACAAAAATATTAGAATGCAACGACCTTCTGAAGCATTTCAAGACCCTCAACTTGCTTCTTAAAATCTGTGCTCAATAATCGCCTATGCAAATCCTCTCTGAAATACTTCATCATATCGTTCTGTGGAAACAATCCAAACAAGATTGATTGAAAATCAATAATAATAGTTGAAACCAAGAAGTATGTATCTACATTATGGTCCTGAACAGAATAAACCTCAAGATCTTGGATCTGCTCAATTCGTGGCTCCTCAAACTTAAACCTCCGAACCACCATTCTTTCCCTATCCTCCTGCAACCAACGCTAAAAGTAAGTGCACAAACATACACACTTCATACAGATCTCAATTTAAAAAATCACCCAACAATACCTTATTTGAATCCTTAACATTTACTAAAGCCTGAGACTGGACAGCAATATCTTGAACAGACAGCATTGTTTCTGGTCTTGATCCCTTTGTAGGGAGAGCTCTCTTCAAAAATCATCAAAAACAAGAGAATCAATAACATTCTTAATTTTCAAATCAAATGTAGCTAGAAAGGGCAAAACCTACCGTAATTAAACCTCTATTTCCATGTTTTGAAATACCATTAGAAGTAGATTTTGCAACCTTTGGAATGCCTTTTTGTGCCCCCGTAGAAGTTCCTCTGGAAGAGTCAAATGCTTCTGAGACATTAAGACAAATTAGCATACAGAAAATAGGTTTCAAAAAAGAGGGAAAAAGTTAAAAAGCACACCTTGCAAAGCCCCAGGTTTTACCCGCTCAAGAATAAAAGCTAAAGCAGGCCCCTGTATATCCTTAAGATTCTTTTCAATCTGATAAGACAGAAACAAATTAGCATATTCGGGATATGATCTCAACTAAAATGACTACAAGAAGTGAGATCCAGGCTGACATACTGCTTCATGTCCGCTAACTTTTAAAATTTCACCAATGCATGCCTCTGCTGCTTTGCGAACATCAGATGATTTATCCTAATAATTACACAGAAAATAGACAAAAACAATATAAAGAATCAGTACATGCACCTGTTAAGAGGTAAAAAAAGTGATCAGGACCTAACATTTATTGTATTCAACAGAATATTACCATCATAGCAGATGAAGCTGGTTTAAGCAGATGCACTGCATCAGAGAAATCACCTAGTGCTGAGAGTTGTCTGGACAACCAATCAAAAAGATCTTTACGCCCCTCTGCACCAAGCTTTGTGTCTATTAATGCTGTTGTGATGTAAGGAACCTGGACAGATAAAAATTAAGAGTTCAGTTATGAAACCTGATACTAAATGTAATGAAAATTGAGAAAATTGTGATAGATGACCACCATTTTATCAAGATGAACTGCAGCAAGCCAGGAATCTAAAGTAGACAAAGTGCTCTCTCTCATATGCTTCTTATTGTCACCAAGGCATTTCAAGATATCTGACAGAATACCCTGCAGTGAAAAAATTCAGGAAAAAATTCCTTTTCTAAATGACAACAAATAAAATACTAATATTTTTGAGGTGGTGTCCACAAACCTTGCTTGCCTTCTCAACAGCTGGTCCCATTGCAGATGCAACAATACCAATAGTTGTCAAAGTTGTGATAACTAGATTTTTGTTGCTGTCACACAGACGGCCCCTCAGAGCACCAAATAATTCCCCTGGAAGAAAAATATAACCCGCTAATGATCAACAGTCTGACAGGTAAGCACATACAGAATGTAGAAAAATGCAAAACATCTCAATCAGTTCAAAAGACAATAGGATACTATATGAGATCACTGTACCAGTTCCAGTGGGTTGAATCCGCTTATTAGCCTCTTCCACAATTTTATTGACAGCTTCTATTGACTCCAAACGAACCTGGAAGATGATTTAACATATAATGGAATGAATAACAATATGACCTCAAAGGATTTCCAATGACTAAATGTTCCACTCAGAAATATTGACAGTTAATACAACAATAATGCATAGAAGATGTTGAAATGTTAACAAAGCAATACCTTCCAGTCAGGACTTTCCAAGCTCTTTAACAGTGTAGGAGTGATTTTTGCACTAATATCTTCACGTGGTAGGCTATCTAGTCCACCAGCAGACAAGGATTCTTTGGAATCTGATGTCTTGACAGTTCTCTTTGGAGCGGCAGAAGCACCCTGAAGAGCAGAATATGAGGACACTCAGTAAGTATTCTATAGACAATAAATGGAGCAGAGGACTTCCATCAACTTAGATCACCATATACCTCAAATGGATTTTTTTCAAACTCAGCATCAAGTGCACTCAGCAGTGCAGGTTTAACATCAGTAAGAAACCCTTTGAGATCTGCAGAAACAGAAAATCTAAGAGCCCTAAACGATAGAACAAAAGGAGATAGAGACTGCTAGACAGGATGACCCATCACCTGGGCCCACAAACTTGTGTAAGGCACCCAAAACCTTAATGGTGGCATTTCGAGTGGCAGCAGTGCTGGACTGCAGCCCAACATCTTTACAGAAATCAATTAGGTCCTGTTAAAAAATGAAGTCTGAATTTATAAATAAAACATAACAGAATTGTTTGAGGGAAAAAAAAAATGAAACTCTGTGACAAAAAAGAAGAAATACCTTCAGTTTCAAATTTGATACACCGAAGTCTTCAACAGCAGAAACCATCCATAGCAAACCCTCACTAAGAACCTTTGGGTTCTTGTGATCTTTCATGATTTTGTAGAGCTATACAAATTATATAACATAGATGCATTAGTATGGAGAAAATCAAACTAAACCAAAAAACCAAGTCAGATTAGTTGGCCTCTGCTTTAGTGATTGCATAATGCATGCAATGAAATTAACAGATAGAGAATTAAAGAAAGACGCATCTAGTAGACAGCACTTACTCTTTCAAACAGAAACCCTGGACCTACTGCCTCAGAGAAAGTAGTAAGGCACTTCATAGCATGAGCACGGGTCTTAATATCTGCTACCCGTTCACTTATACCTGCCATTAAGCAGAATGAAACTAACTAAAGCCAATGTTGTACTTAAAAGATATCACTTCAGTCAAAACAAGCTTATTTAATACAAAAGGAGGAAAGAAAAAGGTCAAACAACCAAAATAATCTAGCTGTTAAAGAGGGGATTCAGGGGAAGGGAAGCAAGGGAGGATAGGCAATCTAATACCCACCTTGAAGACAAAGGACAACACATTTCTTTGGAAATCTCTTGGCAGTTGAGGCCAAAAAAGTGATAACTTCAATGACTTGCTGCTGAACCTGCACAATCAAATTCAATGGCCTAAAATCTTTACCATAGATGGGATTAAAGAAAAAAGTTGCAATCAATAGAAGACAGCCATTAGAGTTGACTGTCTCTTGAGATGGTGTGATATTTATCTTACTATAAAATTGCTTGTTTATTGACATCACATCGGCTGTAGCTCAAAATCATAATTTTAAATTACCTAATCATAAACATTAGTTGTTACATCAAGCATCAACTAAATAGTTATAGTTATTCACGAGTTCTTTCAGATAAACCAAATGCAATTATACTATTTTCATATGACCTTAATAATTATTTGTGTGAGCATAACTGTGGCTCCTGTTAACAGCCAACTCTACACAAAATCTCTAACAGCCCATGGTCCAGCAGCCATACCATTAGCTCTCCCCTCCCTTTGGGAACAGCCAAAATGAAAATTTTCCAGGCTGATCTCTGAAGACCTCCCGCGCCAGCAAGTCCTGGATTTCCTTGGGAGACACATCAGTATGAGGAGGTGATAATAGTAATACCAACCCACATCAATGATGGCTTTCTCTTTAGTCTTGATCAAATGTCTGTAATAGCTTTTGGTCCCCCCAAAAAAGGAAATGTCGGTAGTAGCTTCTGGCCCCCCAAAATTAATGTCGGTAGTGGCTTATTC